ATGCATCAATCGCATTGAGGCATAATTTAGCAGCAAAATAAGGCAGAGACTGTGGACACACCGACACTGCCAGCACCTTTTGCTGTAAGATATCACATTTCTTATTAAGGTTCAGAACTCAAAAGAAGTCCTTGGGGTTCTGCTGGGAAACCTGGATTCCTTCCTCCACTAGTCACACCACTGTCACACCCCAATTGCTCAAATATCTTGGCATCAGCCAACTTATGGAATTCTCTTCTTCCATATGTGGTGCTCACACTTCATCTGCAGTGGGGCAGGTGGGGGCGAAGGCTTGGCCTGAGAGGTGCCCCAGGAGATGCAGTCTTTTCACTTTCTTGATAGTGCTCTTTGAAGCCCCCTAATTTTTAATTTTGATAAAGTATAATTTATTTTTTCCTTTGGTTGTTTGTGCTCTTGGTATCACATCCAAGAAAGCATTTCTATGCCATGAAGATTTATGGCTATGTTTTTTTTCTGAGTGTTAGTTCTTAAATTTAGATCTTTATCTTAATATTTGTATATGTATAGGGGTCCAAGTTCATTCTTTTCCATGTTTTCCCAGCATCATTTTTTTGAAAAGACTATTCTTTCTCCTACTGAATTGTCTTGGCACCTTTGCCAAAAGTCAATTGACCATAAATATAAAGGTTTTATTTATTTTATTTATTATGTTAATCACCATACATCATTAGTTTTTAATGTAGTGTTCCATGATTCATTGTTTGCATATAACACCCAGTGCTCCATGCAGAACGTGCCCTCTTTAATACCCATCACCATGCTAACCCATCCTCCCACTAGGTTCTCCCTCTAGAACCCTCAGTTTGTTTTTCAGAGTCCATAGTCTCTCATGGTTCATCTCCCCCTCTGATTTCCCCCCCTTCATTCTTCCCCTCCTGCTATCTTCTTTTTAACATATGATGTATTATTTGCTTCAGAGGTACAGAGCTATGATTCAACAGTCTTGCACACTTCATAGCGCTCACCATAGCACATACCCTCCCCAATGTCTATCACCCAGCCACCCCATCCCTCCCACCCCCCACCACTCCAGCAACCCTCAGTTTGTTCCCTGAGATTAAGAATTCCTCATTATCAGTGAGGTGGTATTATTTATGGACTCTGAATTACATCTCACTTATATATGCTTTTGGCAGTACAGCTGTGTTGATTACTATAGTTTTGAAATCAGGAAGTCCAAGTTTTTCCAATCTTTATGCATATTCTTATTGTTTTATTACATTGATTGGGACCTTCAACATAACCCTGAATAGAAGTGGTGAGAGCAAACATTCTTGTCTTATGTTGTTCCTGACCTTAGGGGGAAAAGATTTAATATTTCACATTACATTTTTTTAAGATGATTGTTGTTATACTGAGGAAGTTCCCTTTTTTTTTTTTTAAGATTTTATTTATTTATTTGACAGAGAGACACAGCAAGAGAGGGAACACAAGCAGGGGTAGTGGGAGAGGGAGAAGCAGGCTTCCTGCCGAGCAGGGAGCCCAATGCAGGGCTCGATCCCAGGACCTCAGATCATGACCTGAGCCAAAGGCAGACACTTAATGACTGAGCCACCTAGGCGCCCCAAGGAAGTTCTCTTCTGTACTTGAAGTTTTTTTTTTTTTTTTAAACATGAATGGGTTTGAATTTTGTCAGATGCTTTTTCTGCATCTACTGAGACCATCACTTTTTCTCTTCCATTCTGTTAATGTGGTGAATTACACTGACTTTTCAATGTTAAACCACACCTTTCTTAGCATCTTAACCTTTATATTGCAAGGTTCAATTTGCCAATATTTCATTAAGAATTTTAAAATCTATATTCATGTGGGATACTGGTTTTTAATTCTCTTGTAGAATGTCCTGGTCAAGTTTTGATATCAGGATTATTTGGCCTCATAAAATGAGTTTGGAAGTGTTCATTCCTGCTCTAGTCTCTGAAATAGACAGGATTAGTATTTTATCTTCTTTAAAAGTCTGATAAAATTTACTGGTGAAGCCATCTGGCCCTGGAGTTTTCTTTCTGGGAAAGTTTTTGATTAGAAATTCCATTTCTTTAACAGATATTGGTCCATTTAGCTTGTCTTTTTCTTCTTGTGTCAATTGTAGTTTTTCCAGGAATTTGTCCACTTCATGTAAGTTGTCAAATTTATTGGCATAAAGTTGTTGAACTATCCCTTTAATATCTATATAATTCATTAGCATTAAAAGTAAAATTTCTGCATACAAAAATAAAATAGATGACAAATGATGAATCAGGGGAAAATAAATATATAACATATAGCAGAAAAAGATATATATTGTAGGAGCAAACAGTCTAGTGACAGAAAGAGGGAATTATGATTGAGTGTCACAAATACCAGGAGAGGTACAAAGAAAACAACACATAGGATGGATACACTGGCCAATTTAGGAAGTCAGAATCATGATGTCCAAGTGATGAGTTACATTTGCTAACTTGAGGTAAAATAATATAATCAAATTTATGGATACTTAAAAAGCTGAGAATTTAGCTCTCAGATATAATTATTTCACATTGGTCATCTACCTATGGGTGTCTACAGTCAACTGCTCCCCTTTCACTGGCATATCTTTAATTAAAAATAAAAGTTTTTTGTAAAAATGATAGACATTATAAAAAAATTCAAATGAGATTAAAAAGTCCAAAAGACAAAATAAAAATCATTTGCATTTTGGCCAACATCCTTCCAGATCTTTTTGTACATTTATATACACAAATATACACATATATATTCATGTCAAGATGATGCTGTTCTTGCTGATTTGTATTCTCCTTTTATGGGGGGACCTATATGCTATGAACATATTTTCATGTAAATAAAGATTTCCATCATTATAAATAGGTTAAAGGTATTCCATTGTGCACATGCACTGTAATTTAACTAGCATCCTAGTGATGGCACTTACACTGTTTCCAAAAACACTTATTACAAAAAAGGGAGTGAAGAACATCCATATGAATGGTTTCTTTTTGTTATTTTCCTTAGAATGAATGGACTAGGAAATGAGATTCTGGGGCAAAGGCTAATGAAATTTTGGTAAATAAGATTGTCCCAATTTCAACCTTAACACCAGTAAGTGCACAATAGTAATTGTAACCCCGTATCACTATGTACCCTGAGGGACAAAAAGGATCTGTTTGGAATGTTGAATATCTTTCATTTAATTAGTTGTTCATTTTTCTTGGCTTAAAAATATCCTATTGATTTCCTTTGCTAATTATATTGAGGTGTTTTTAAAATTGATACTTTTTTTAAAATGAAAGATTAGAGAGAGACGCACACACGCATGTGTGGGGGGGGAAGAGGGAGAGGGAGAGTCTGAAGCCGACTCTACACTGTGCACAGAGCCCATTGAAGGGCTCCATTTCACAACCCTGAGATCACAACCTGAGCCGAAACCAAGAGTGGGATGCTTAACGGGCACCACCCAGGCACCCCTTAAAATTGATATTCTATGAGCTCTTTGTATATTAGGAATATTTTTCCTTCTTTTTCCACGTTACAAATGTATTTTCCACTGGTTCATTATTTGTGTATAGAAGATTACAACTTGTATATAGAAGATTACAATCTTCATGTGGGTAATTTTTACCATTTTTTTCTGTTATGGTTTCTGGTTCTTGTTTCATACTTAGCAAAGGCCTTTCTCAGCTCAAGATTATAAAGATACTCTCCTTGATTTTCTTGTAGTGTTTTTTTGGCTTCATTCTTTACATTTAAATTTTTGATTCATCTGGTATTTGAGAAAGGAGATAGAAATTCTGTCTCCATGGGCTTGTTATTTCTCAGATAATCTCTTTCCCACTTAGCAGTGATTTGTAGCATATAGTTTACTGATTACCACCAAGACTTCTGGAGTCCAGGTCTCCCGGCTTCAACACTTACCAGTAATGGATCTGAGTAATGTTGTAAAGTCAGATAATAATTGCACCCGTCTTAGGGTTAAATAATATAATCTGAAAAAGTGCTCTGGTACTTGATACCTAAATGCTCAGCAAATGTGAGCTACTATTATTAAACACTTGTACATGGCACAGCAGTTTGTTTCTGGATTCTATATTCTGTTCTCTATCTTCCACATCTTTGTAATCCATGTGTTGACACTCAATTACCCAACTCATTGTCTCATGGAATGGCTCCTCTTTCCTCATTTCAACAAAAAAAGTTCCTATCTCAGTTGCCTTTCTAATCATAGCTACAGCCCAGGTAAAAATAAGCTGTGCTTCACAATGCAATGAGAACCAAAACCCCGAACCAAGACGCTGAACAAACGTGGTAAAGAAGAGTATCTATTTCTTCTACCACGTATTCTTAAGAGACTGAAACTCTACCTCATTTCAGCCCTTGGTATATAACTGATGCTCTCAAAAACTAGTACCTTCTCTCCCCATTCTAGTTTACAACCTTAAATAAAGAGTTGACAAATGTTACGACTCTGGAGCAGGACGCGAGGGGCGGGGAAGGATTCACCCAGGGCCCCGGTCCTAACCTGGCCAGTTCCTCCTGGCTAGCTGAGCTGACGCCCCCAGGCTGCGTGGCAGGCAGGCGACTCCAGGACCCATTATATGTGCACAATCGGGGTCGAAGGCAGCGGCAGGACCTCCTCGGAGCCCTCAAAGAGTTAAGAGTGTGCGAAGAGCCGGCAGAGGGAAGCGCGAAAAGGGGAAAATCCCCTAGAAACATAGCGTGGCGAGGAGGCGAGGGAGACCGGCTTCTCGCTCAACCACGCACTTCAGTCTGGCTGGTTGAAGCAAGTCTCTGCGTCCCCCCCAAGGCTCTGTCGTAGCGCCGCCTCGACCCGGCGTTCCCGCCGTTGTCGGCCGCCGCTCCCTCCTCCGCTCGGCTCGCCTCCTCCCTCTAACGGCTGCTGAGCGCAGCCGGCGTCCGCGGCGTCGGTGACGACGGCGTAGGGGCGGGACTTCCTGCCTTGCGCTCTCTTAGGACTTCCCACCGAGGCGCTCCGCTGGGCTTGAAAGGCGGGGGGCGGCGGGCGGCGGGCGGCGGGCTGAGGTTGGCGTGTCCGCGGGTCGGCAGCTACTGGGCTCCCTCGCTACCCTGAGAAAGCCCGTCCGCCGAGGTGGAGCGAAGCTGCCTCTCCACCGCCGCCCTTTCTGCCCTCGGAGCTCTCTCGGGAAACCTCACGTTTCCCTTGGAGTCGGGAGCCCGCGGGGTGCGCTCGGCCCTCCTTTTCCTGCTCCTCCTCTTCAGTCCGCGTCGCGAGCGGCTGCAGGCCGGGCCAGCACCCCGCGTGTGGGACTGCATCCCTTAGCCCCAATGCCGGTGCGAGAAGAGCTGAGTGGGTGCCCGTGGTTGGAGCTGTGCGGGTGTTCCCCGGTGGCGGGTGCGGCCACAGCACCGGGAGCTTTTAAGTTCTTTGCGCGCAAGTTGCAAGGACTGAGTGCGAGTCTGGTACGTAACGTCTTTCTATGGGGACGCTGTTTTGTCCGTGGTTTGGAATGTTCCCCTTTTCTTCACAGTTTGCCCTTGAATTTTTTGTACTTTTCCTGTAAAGTAATTGGAGCGGGTGTGAGAAACGTAGGCTGTGAGACATGTTCTGTAGCCAGTTAAATGCACGTGAAACTTTTTATGCAGTTTTTTTTTTAAATTTATGTATGTATGTAAGTAATCTCTACACCCGGGGCTCGAACTCACCACCCCGAGATTAAAAGAGTCGCATGCTCCTCGGACTGAGCCAGCCAGGCGCCCCTTTTTGGAGTTTTTTGATGCACTCCAGCGCGGTGCTTGTGTAGCAAGTTCACTAACTGGCTGAACGTGTGGTACCACAAGTTTAATTTGTGATGAAAAAACTATGCTAACCACTTTCTGTGGCCCCGCAGACAATTTTAATAGTGATATTGGCAGTCCTTTCAGAGATAACGTCTAGACTATGTAAATGAATGCCTGGATTAAATGGACATTTTGATAAATCCTTACCAGCTTTTGACCATAATAAATGGGCACTTAGCTCTTCAAAATGCCCACTGCCAAGTATTTTTAAATCCTTAAGTTACATGAGTTCTAATTATGAAGCTGTTTCAGTAAAATCTGAGATGTCTAGTATGCAAGAAACTTGTTCTTAATTTCTTATATGTGTTATAGTTGATAGTGTTTAGACTATGAACACAAAGTACTTGAGATCTAAAACTGAGTAGGTTGTTAAAGCAGTGCTTCTGTTACCAAGCAACATCTCTGTAAACAAGTCTAATATTCAACTAGAATATAATTAAATGTAACTATCCTACAATTATCTGGATTCAGAATTCTGTAAATTCATGGGTTTAGCCTGTAGGTGGTTACAGTTAATACGCACCTTCTGTACTGAAGTTTGATTTCAAACTCATTTTGTGTGGAATTACTAGAATGTTTTGAATTTCAGTGTCATACAGGACTCTCCAGAGAGTTGCAAATGGATTTGAGTTACCCTTTGGTTATATAGGACAGTGTATGTCCGCTATTCTTTCTTTTGAATATTTTCTAATCAGATGAAGTGTGCAGGCTATATTCAGTATAATATTCCATTATACTCAAATAATAGAATAATACCAATTTAGGGTTACACATAGCGCATTGGTAGATTAAAACAGTATCCACAAGTGTTTTTAAGCCTTGGTTGAGCCAATAACCTCACTCCTTCTCCGCCCATTAAACCTTTATTGATATAATTTGTATGACTGTATGGCAAGGAGTTTTCAGAGCACTTTTTCATGATTTTTTTGAGTGCTATAACCTTTCAAGTATGTCAGAAAGGACATACATTTGAGACACTGAGACTGAATGACTTCTTTGAAATCAAACTATTGGTAATGGGAATTGCAACTTGAAGTTGCATGTCTTACTACATTGCAAAAATCCGTTGACTTCATCTTAGTTCCCTCCCCCTTTCTCTTTTCCATATGCTGATGTTGAAGTAATGAAATATTCAAGAGTTGGGCAAGACAAGCAGAGAAGAAAAATCAAGAATGACTCGTATAAAATTCTTAGTAATCAGAAGTCAGCATTTTGTCTTGGGAAGTTCTAATTCAAGAAGTTTAGAAGAATGAAATCTTAACAGAAAGATTAATTGTCAGAATTCTTTGTGTGTTTTCTAGGTACTGTCTCTGCTTAAAGTAATTGAGTTTTATTTTAATTTTGTCATACATAATGTATTAAGTTCAGTAATTCTGTCAGATTGTCTAATCTGTGTGTACTTTAGGGCATGTGTGTGTGTATCTGTAAAAAATTTCCTGAAGTACTCTTTCCTACCAACTAAAGTTCACATTTCTTAACCTGAACTCTTCAAAATCTCCTCTCACTCTGCCATTTCATGTTCATGTTCTTTATAGAAAAACTGTTCTGTGTCCAGACTGATTTCCTCACTATCCTCTAAACCTACCATGTGTTTTCTCCCTTTCTTCCAAGTCTTTGAGTCTTTCCGCCTTCCTGACCTGATTTCTTCCCTTCTTTCCTAAAATCTGAATTGTACCTTTTCTATAAAGTTCAACTCCACCATAATCTCCGCAGGTGAGGAAAAGTTCTCTACTCTCTTAGAGTCTCTAGCTGGCCTAAGAGTTAAATTGACATAAAACTGATTAACAGAGAAAAGCGTACAAGTTTAAAAAAATTTTTACATGTACTTGGGGGCCTTCACAGGAGAATGAAGACTTGAAGTAACCAGAGCGGAAACCTTTTATACCTTTTAGATAAAGAAACAATAAATTTGTGTAAAAAAGACAAGGGGTTTTGTGTTGAGTAGTAAATTGTGGAGAAGTGACTAGGAAGATAAAGATTAGTTTAATAAGGCTTGTTTGTACAGATTTCTCGGCTTTGATCCCCCATCTCTGGTGATAAGAATGTCTTCTGTACTCCTGGTACAGGTTTTGTTCTTTTTTTTCTTCTGGGATGTTTATCTTCTGTTTTCAAGAAGAAAAAGGAGGGTCAGAGTGCCCCTTTTTGCACCTGCTATTTGCTTAAATGCTTTTAACTCAATCAGTACACCAAAGTGGCATATTTTAGGGTAACATGTTCTGAACTCTTTCTCTGAAATCCTGTAGCATGTTTTCATTAGCCATTCTCATCTGATACTTACACTTTATATTGCGATTTATCATTTCTGTATATGCCTCACCTTCCTAACTAGATTGTAAGCTCCTTAAGGGCAGGACACCACATCTCAATGAGCTGTATCCTTAGTATCTTCCAAATATAAGTTGCTGAATAAATGATTCTTAGAGATGAGAAATGTGCATTTGTACTTTTCCCCCTCTTCCATAGTGTAGTAGAAGTAAAAGAAAATCTTTGAGAGAGTGAGAGAGAAAGGGCAACTGTAAACCATAAGAAAGGGAATTAAAAGAGAGGGAATTCATTGGGATTGGAAGGGAAGATTCTATTCCTAGAAAGTGTGATATTTAAGAATTTCCCAAGACAATATCAGCAGTGAGGACTCCTCAGGAATGCTGGCACTACTCTCAAGTGGGCTTGGGGAGTTTGATCAATTTCCTGGTTCTTCCTTAGTAGAATCTTAATTTTAAAAACACTTCCCCCAACTCTCTCCTCCCTCTACCTCCCTTGTAAAATCCCTCTCTCCCTATCTCTCCATTTTACCCTGTTCCATTTTACTTTTTTCCTGGTCAAGACTTATTTATGAATTATGTCAGTACTTTTATTTGGCCCTCATAAAGTAGCCATCATCTTAAGTTTTATAATTTTCCAGTGGGGCTGCCTCTATGGGTCATGGAGAGATCACAAGCTGTATAGTCTAGCTAGTCTAGCTTTTTTTTTTTTTTAAGTTTAACTGAGATATAATCCAGTAGTAAAGAAATTAAGAAAGCAGGAAGTGCCCAGTTTCTGCATATTATAACTTTAAATTTCTTTTGCACTAAAATTCATAGAGTTGGGAAGAACCTAAACCTATCCATTTCCTTTTGGAAAGTGCCTATCACTCTCAAAATATGTCTCTAAATAGATTCTGGGTAATTTTTGTAGTCTTACTGTAAATCCTGTATCTGATGCTTATGACAAGGAATTGTTTCATTTAAAGGTATAAGAAAGTAGAGTCTCAGTATTTTTATAAATCTTGGTTTGAGTCATTTGTTTTTTATATAAGTTCCTAGCCTAGCTTCTGAGTTGTTGCCCAGTAACACAATTGCAGGATAATGTAGCAACCACTGAAAATGTTAGCAGTGGACTATAGGGATTTTCCTGCTAAGTTGAAGTGCTTATCTTTAGCATTCAGTATGTTTTTCTCATCTGAATCACATTTTGGTTTAAGGCAGACGCTTGAGATATTGTTAAAGAGCATACAATACAATTATATATTTTTGGAGTGCTGACAAATTACAATTTGCACATTATTTTTCACATACTGTAGTGTGATATATATTAAATTATATATGAAGGATATGTGAAAAGACTGGTTCAATTAAAGATTAGTCTATATTGGGCAGAAAAACTATTAAGTAATAATTAACATCTAAGTTCTCTACAACTGATAAAGCCAGCAAGAGCTGGGGTGGATGCATTTGAAATGGTTCTTCTCCAATTAATATTCTTACGTTACTTCTAGAGGGTCCTGGGAAGCTTAGATCAGTAAGCATGAACTAATAGGCATATGATTTTGTGGGAAGAGAACTGTGATTCAGGAGACGAAGACTTGACTGAGTTAGTCACTTAACCTTTCTTGGCCTGTTTTTTGAAAAAATAAATCGTTGAAGGTTTTTTTCACAGAGGTATATTTACAATTTATTTTTCATTTATTTTTTAAAGGTTTATTTTAGAGAGTGCAAGTGCATGTGCATCTGGGGGAGGGGTGGCAGAGGGAGAGGGAGTCTTAAGTAGACTCCATGCTGAGTGCAGAGCCCAACCTGGGGCTCAATCTCATGATCCTGAGATCACAACCTGAGCCAAAACCGAGAGTCGGATGCTTAACTGACTGCACCACCAAGGCCCCTTGTATGTTTACAATTTAAAGCACATTTTTATTTCTCCTGTTCATTGGTTTAGCCAATTTTTGAGTGCCTGTCATGGGTCTTGCACTATACTAGATATTGGGAAAATTGTGAATAAGACATTGTGCCACGTCTCAAGCAGTGCCTGGTGGGAGAAAATGAATGGTTATATATAACTTATATATAGTTACTTGTAATATAAATTGAAAGTGCTATAGAGGTAAATGAAGGTGTGTTTTGGTGGCATGTCAGAAGGACACCTGACCTAGAACTGCTGAGAGAATACATTATAATTAAGGAAATGCCAGATTAGAATTACGTAAGTGTTAGCTGAGAGTATACAAAGAAGTATTAAACCTGGCCTGGAGGGAGTTAATGAATCAAGTAAAACTGGGGAGAAGTTTCTCTGAATTGGAAAGAGAGTCAGAAATAGTGGTAGTTCAGATCCTGGATGTAGATGGGATTCCTAGTGAGAGTGTATGGAATCAGAAGAGGGCTTGTGAACATCAGCATGTAATGGGTAGGTGGAGAAAGAGAGTACCGAGGAAAACCAGAGAAGGGTAGAATCTTGGAAGCCAAGGGAGGAATGCTTACCACATTTAGTTTTTGATTAAATGGAAATTGTTTGTCAAGAAACATTGTGTAGCACTATAAATGTAAACCCATCTATACAAAGATACTCTACAAAGATCTGAACTTGCGAATGGAGATAGGTCAAGTCTCGTAACAGAGAAAGAGTCTATGGTTGACCTTGGAACAACATGGGGAATGGGGGTTCCCAAAACTCTATTTGTGATTTTAATTTGCATTTCCCTAAATATAAATGATGTTGCATTTTCCCTGTATAGTCATCTTTGGTGGAATTCTATTCAAATCTTTTGCCCATTTTTTTTTTTAGCTGGGTATTTTTGTCTTATTATTGAGTTGTAAAAGTTCTTTATATATTCTGGGTTAAAGTTTTTTATTAGAGACATATTTACGAAGATTTTTTTTCCCTGACTTTGGCTTACTTTTTCTTATACTTGTGTCTTTGAAGTACAAAGGTTTTTGATGAAGTCTAGTTTATAATTTTTTCCTTTTATGGTTTATGATTTTGATGATGTGTTTAAGAACTTTTGGCCTGATCCAAGATCACAAAGATTTTCTCCTCTGTTTACCTTTAGCTCCTTCATTTAGATCTAGGATCCATATCGAATTAACTTTTGTGTATGGTCTAAGTTTTTAAATTTTTTTTAAAGATTTTATTTATTTAAAAGGGAGAGCAAGTGTGCGTGCATGCGCATGAGAGGGGGAAGGGGCAGAGGGAGAGGAAGAAGCAGATTACTCGCTGAGCAGGGGGCCCTACCTGGGGCTGGATCCCAGGATCCCAGGATCTTGACCTGAGCTGAAGGCAGACACTTAACCCACTGAGCCACCCAGGCCCCCCAAAGTTTAAAAATTTTTTTTGATGCCAAGTGGACGCCAAGTTGCCCTAGCACTATTTGCTAAAAAGGCTGTTCTTTTTCCCTTGAATTATATTGGCACCTTTGTAAAAAATCAGTTGCTTTTATAACATAAGGGTTTGTTTCTAGAGTCTCAATTCTGTTCTATTCATCTATATTCCTATCTTTACTCCAGTACCACACTGCCTTGATAACTGTAGTGTTATAGTAAGTTTCAAAATGGGTAGTATAGGGGTGCCTGGCTGGCTCAGTGGAGCCATGTGACTCTTGATCTTGGGGTTGTGAGTTCGAGCCCCACATTTACTCAAGAAAAATAAATACAAATAAAAATTCAAAGAAAAAAATAAAATGGGTAGTGTAAATCTTTCCAACTTTTTCAAAAGTGATCCTAGATTCTTTCCATTTACATGTAAAATTTAGGACCCACTTGTCAATTTCTACAAAAAACATTTGTTGTGATTTGATAAGATTTGCATTGAATCCAAGATCAGTGTGGGAAAAATTGCTAACTTAAGAGTCTTCTAATCCATGAATATGTGATGTCTCTATTTAGATTTTTAATTTCTCTCAACAGTGTTTTTTAGTTTTCGATATATAATTCTTGCACATTCATTAAATTTATTCTGAAGAATTTGGAATTTTTGATATTCGGAGTAGAATTTTCATAATTTTTTAGATTGTATAGAAATGCAATTTTTTAACAGTGTGTGGTGGGGTGGGGAGGGGGAGAGGGAGAGGAGG